CTCTTCAAACGAGACACCTAGTAAACAGACACACATTAGCAAGAGTCACATTTGAGGTTGCAAATGAACTTCAGAGGTAAGACAGTTTAGTAAGATATACTGCAAAGGAGAAACACCCGAAAGACTGGGCTCCTTCCATTAATCAAAGGAAGGAGAACCTGTTTGATGGAGCCTCCAATAATGCCTCATTTTACCTTATGGCTGGAGACAAGGTAGCTGATGAGGAACAATTGTTTTGTCCTACTGAAGCCTCGTGTGTTGGAGGCTCTTTAGAAGGAGAAGCCTCCAACACAGGAGGCTTCAGTAGAAGTCTTCAGAAAGTTTCTGTCATACTGAAGCCTCCAACACAAGACTTAAGTTCCACCCTGAGAACCATGAATCCTAAGACAATGCTCACAGCCTGTGCCTAAGACTGGAGAACAAAGAGGGCAGATACTGAGCAGAACTGGGGCACTGCCAAAATTGGCCTTTGACATGAACAGACATTTCTCAAAAGAAGACATACATGTGGCCAACAAGCATATGAAGAAAAGCTCAACATCACAGATTAGAGAAATGCACATTGAAACCACAATGAGATACCATTTCACACCAGTCAGAATGCCTATTACTAAAGAGTCAGAAAATAACAGATGCTGGCAAGGTTGCAGAGAAAAGGGAACACTTATACATTGTTGGTGGGAGTGTAAATTAGTTCAACCATCATAAAAAGCAGTATGGCAATACCTTGAAGAGCTAAAAGCAGAACTACTATTTGACTGAGCAATCCCATTACTGAGCATATACCCAGAGGAATATAAATCATTCTACTATAAAGATACATGCATATGAATGTTCACTGCAGCACTATTTACAATAGCAAAAACATGGAATCAACCTAGGTAACCATCAATGACAGACTGGATAAAGAAAATGTGGTACATATATACCATGGAATACTATGCAGCCATAATAAAAGAATGAGATCATGTCTTTTGTGGGAACATGGATGGAGCTGGAGGCTATTATCCTTAGCAAACCAGTGCAGAAACAGAAAACCAAATACTGAATGTCGTCACCTATCAGTGGTAGCTAAATCATAAGGACTTATGAACACAAAGAAAGAAACAGACACTGGGGTCTACTTACGTGGGGAGGGTAGGAGGAGAGGGAGGAGCAGAGAAGATAACTATTTGGGTACTGAGCTTAACACCTGGACGATGAAATAATATGTGGAAAAAAAAAAAAAAACACCTCCCTGACATATGTTTACCTATGTAACAAACCTCTCATGTACCTCCAAACCTAAAATAAAAGTTAAAAAAAAAAAAAACTGGCCTTTGCTGAATGATATTAGGTTAACCTGAGATAAAGGAAATCCCCAATCCTTCTAATTTTCCCCTCTCCACCTGGACCCACCACCTCTGCCCAGGCTTGGAGAATTAAGGCTGATGTAGATGGAGAATCAGTTGGCCAAAAGAGGTGAATTCTCTCCTCAAGTTGCCATTCTCTTACTATAAGACCCTCTGATCCCACACAGTCTACTGGATCTCTGGGTATCAAGGAAATATAAATCTGAACTCACTTGACAATGTCACCATACAGAACCAAGCCTGACAGATTATGAAGGCATGAAGGAGTGGCTTGGGTGGCTTTAGCCCCTTAATCTGTTTCAGTGTCCACTGAAACTATATCAAATAAATATACAGTTGAGACTTTTTTGGTTTAAAAAAGTGTGCTATGTAAATGCAGTTTCAAGCAGTTATGTGCAGAGTTTGCAGGGAAATAACTATGACCCAATAAATCCATATCCAGGAAAAGTACTTTTCACACTTGGGAGCAATAGACAGACACTCCAACATGCAGCAACTCGAAGCATAGCCTCCATGTACCTTTCCTAAAAACAATTACTCAACGGGCTTGAGTCAGCTGAGCAATGAATCAAAATGAAGAACATAGAAATAAGGAAGATGACTTACTGAGAAAAGATGGTACATAATATAAACTCAGAATTAGGTAAGTCTAAATAATAATTGTTAATGTAGCATAAAAACGTAGCAGGTGAAAATGTAAATAAATGATTCTAAAAGTAAAGATAAATCATATAAAATCACGAATAATAGTATTGATTTGAATTTTTAGGCATTCTTACACTAGGATTCAAGGTGTGGAAGAAGATAGAAGTAAAGGCAGGTTGCATTTCTTATCTTTCACAGGTACAAGTCCAGTTTTATTCTCGATATTGATGGAGAAAAGTGATATAATTATATTCTCTATATGTTTAAATATAAACATTGATAGACTAGAAATGGGCTTCTGACTTGCATATGAATAAAAAATGCAGGAGATAAAAACAAATCAATAGCAAAAAATATAGACCAATTTAAAAAGAAAATATCAAAGTATTTTTAAAAAGAAAAAGATGATAAATAAAACCAAACATACCAGAAATCATAAATACAAACATATTACTCTCATATTGCATATTGAGAAATACTCTCAGATAACTTTGAAATTAAAGGCATTACATGCTATACACGAGAGACAAAAACTAAATTTAAATGACAATTTAAAAATAAAGAGTGGCCAGGCGCAGTGGCTCACATCTGTAATCCCAGCACTCTGGGCGGCCGAGGTGGGCAGATCGCGAGGTCGAGATTGAGACCATCCTAGCCAACATGGTGAAACGCCATCTCTACTAAAAATACAAAAAATTATCTGGGCATGGTGGTGCGTGCCTGTAGTCCCAGCTACTCAGGAGGCTGAGGCAGGAGAATCTCTTGAACCCCGGAGGCAGAGGTTGCAGTGAGCTGAGATGGCGCCACTGCACTCCAGCCTGGTGACAGAGCAAGACTCTGGCTCAGAAGAAAAGAAAAAGAGAGAGAGAGAGAGACAGACAGAAAAAGATATGCGATACTAAACCTTAAAACACTAAAAGTTCCAATATCAATATCAAAGTTGAATTAAAAGCACAAATATTAACTATGAACATGATTTATTTTTTATCAATAGAAGGTGGGAGATACATGACACTAACCAGACCATGTTTAATGAAGTGGGATTTGTATTGGAGGCAGGTGTTGTCTCTCCCACTGGACACATTTTTCTCTGGTACAGACTCTAGGGGAAGGGAGATGGCCATGATGCAAAGCACTAAAAACGCTGTAGTGACTCTGGTCTTCCTGCTCACTCTAGATCACTAAAACACGGTAAAGACAACACAGGGGGATGCCATTTTCATGCTGAGAAAACTATGAGTCACTTAGGAGAAAGGTAAATTTCTACACTTTATACCTTAAGACAAAGAAAATTCAGGGCAGATATTTTATACAAATGAAGAAAATACATTCAAAACAGAAATTTTGGTGAATACATTTAAAATCTTGGGGTAAGAAGGACTTTCTGAGAATAACATTAAAGACAAAATCACAAAGAAAAGTACAGATACATTTGATTAGATGAAGATTAAATACTTTATATAGTGAAAAGCAAGACAACCTGGGAGAAATTACTTATATTACATAAAATAGAAAAAGGATCAATAGATTTAACTTTTCAGTCCAAAGACAGAAAAACACCCCAATTTTAACTGGGCAAAAGTAGTTTGCAAATGATGAAATATTAACTTAGAAAGGGTAAATGAAGGTGTGTCAAAGAATGTGCATTAGAAAAAATATATTTACTGATATCAAAGAAATCAATGATGGTTAGTGCTAAGTGTGGGAAGGGAGAAATGTACACTTGCATCTTGATGTTAAAGCACATATCAATATCCATAGCGTCACAATCATTCCCTTTGACACAGAATTTCCACTTCTGAGAATTTATAACAAGCAAATAACCAACAATATACGGAGATTTAGCCTCAAATATATTCATTTTTTGTAACACTTAAAAACTTGTAAAAAAACTTAATTGTTCAGCAATATCTGGCTATTAAATGAATTATAGCACATCTACACCATGAAATATTTCATGGTATATTACTTTGTAAATATAACAGTTTGTAAAACAACTGTTACAAATAATGTTGTAAGTGCACATGAATATATATTAACAAAAAATATAGTCATGATGTCATGAAGTAATAAGGTTATTTACAAAAGAATAAGTATGGTCTCATATCTGTAAACAAAAAAAGTATATGCTTAAAGAACTTAGAAGTGCATGCATCCGGCCGGGCGCGGTGGCTCAAGCCTGTAATCCCAGCACTTTGGGAGGCCGAGGCGGCCGGATCACAAGGTCAGGAGATCGAGACCACAGTGAAACCCCGTCTCTACTAAAAATACAAAAAATTAGCCGGGCGCGGTGGCGGGCGCCTGTAGTCCCAGCTACTCAGGAGGCTGAGGCAGGAGAATGGCGGGAACCCGGGAGGCGGAGCTTGCAGTGAGCCGAGATCGCGCCACTGCACTCCAGCCTGGGCAACAGCGTGAGACTGCGTCTCCAAAAAAAAAAAAAAAAAAAAAAAAAAAGAAGTGCATGCATCCAAGTTTAAGAAGGACTATACGTGGGTAGATTTGTTGATTGTATTTTCTGATTTTCCTTTAATGAACTCTTATGTTATTTTCAGTTTTTAGAATAAAACCTATTCACAAAGCTACAGAGTTTTCAAAGTATTTTTGTGTGTTATTTTAGTTTTATTACTAATTTTTTACAATACAACATCCAATACATAGATAGCATCATAACCAGTTTACATTTGAATAATCCGAAAGTTAAAAAGGTTTAGTGACTTGCTGAGTATCAGGTGAATGAATATATGATGTCAAAGCCAAGCACTGATTCCAGCTTTTACTATAAATCCAAGATCATCCCCCTGGTATGAAACACCAGCGTTTCTCACAGGGACTACTGCAAATTCCTCCTATATCTATGTAATGAGAATTTGTAATTTAAAAATAAAATAAAATGAAATCCTGCTTTATTTTGTTTGGAGTGGGGAAAGAAGGAAATGCTTGCCTTGCTTAATCTGTCTAATTTTGCTTCATCCCTGGGCAGCTCCATTACAGAAAATGTATAGATGATTTGCAGACACACAGTTTAATTCAGTGGCAAATTCAGGGTAATTTGAAGAACTATTTGTATTTGCCCCCTTTGTTTCCAATCTTTGTTTAGACAGACACCAACCACTTACAACCATGGTGAGTTAACTTCCTCTATGGCAGGACTTGGTCTCCAACATTGACACAAGCTGGCAAATGGTTATACAACTGGGCAAGAAAGAAGCAGAAGAAAAATTTCCTGAATATGTCTGCAGTTCAGACACAAGCCAGTTTAAGAATGTATTGTTTCATTACAGTGAGTACATGATAAAATGCCTTCAGGTCAGTGCAACAGGAAGTACTCTAGTGAGATTAGAAACAAATAAGAATAAAATCCCAATGAGCATAAAGAGGCCTTTTTTTTTTTTTTTTTTTTTTGAGATGGAGTCTTGCTCTGTCGCCCAGGCTGGAGTGCAGTGGCCAGATCTCAGCTCACTGCAAGCTCCGAATAAAGAGGTCTTTAGTCAGCAAAACATGTTTGCTTTTGCTATCAATACCATTTGCTCATAGGCAAAATCTACAAAATTGGAAATCACGCAATATCCGGTAAAAATGAGAAATGTTCACTAGTGATGAGTTAAGTAGCATTCTGCATTCCTGTTTTTTTGTTTTTTTTAAAGAAAACTTTTAATGGAATTAATTTCTTCTAAGAATACTTTTTACATTTTCAAGCTAGAAGAACATTTATTTCTGAATGGATGGAATTTTTTTTTCAAAATAACACTTGTCTAATAATTCAACTGGAGTAAATACGGTGTATGCTCCCACCCATACATTTTGATATCTTTCCATAGTTTCCCTTTTTTCTTCTTGCCTCAGCATAAGCTCTGTTTAACTAAAGATAAGAGATCCATCAATGGCTCCCTCCTTTCAAACTTCAAACTGACTTACTCATATGAAGCAACACTTTCAGCATCTTCAACTTCAAACTTGGAAAGTCGTTCTAACCTACTTTATCTACCAAAAAAAAAAATGCAAAAATATATCATTAGATATTTGCTACACAAAATAGTGATGAAAAATATATTTGAATAACAAGAATCCCATGAATCTAAAGGATATAGTAAACATGACTTAGCTCACTGGAAGACTTAATATTTAAGAAAGAAAATTACAATCATTAACCAGAAACTCTTTCTTCATGGATACTCCCAACACTGAATTTTGCATATTTTTGTCTTCTTTGCTCTATCTCTTTCTATATATATGTATATAAAGATATATAAAAGAATATGTATACAGATGTATAATATATAAATAATATGTGTATAGACATATCTCAAAGACATTGTGGGTTTCATTCCAGACCACTGCAATAAAGCAAAAACTGCATTAAGCAACTCACACAAATGTTTTGGTTTCCCTGTGCATATGAAAGTTATATTTACCCTACACTGTAGCCTGTTAAGTTTGCAATGGCATTATGTTAAAAAAATTATGCACGTAACTTAATTAAAGACTACATTATTGGTTAAAAAATGCTAATGATAACCTGAGCCTTTAGCAAGTCCTAGTCTTTTTGCTGGTGGAGGGCATTGTTGCCTCCATGTTGATGGCTGCTGACTGATCAGAGTGGTGGTTGCCAATGGTTGGGGTGGCTGAGGCAATTTCTTAAAATAGGACAACAATGAAGTTTGCTGTAGCAAATGACTCTTCCTTTCACAAGTGAGAATTAAGTGGTGAAGCCATCAGGTCCTGGACTTTGTTGAAAGCCTTTTTATTACTGGTTCAATCTCATTACTTGTTTATGGTCTGTTCAGGTTTTCTATTTCTTCTTGGTTTAGTCTTGGTAGGTCGTATGGGTCAAGGATTTTGTCCATTTCCTCTAGGTTTTCAAATTTATTGTAGAGTTGCTCATAATAGTCTCTAATAATTATTTTTATTTCTGTCATGTCTGTTATGAAGTCTCTTTTTCTGTTTCTGAATTTACTTATTTGTGTCTTCTCTTTTTCTTAATTAGTCTAGCTAATGGTTTGTTGATTTTTTAAACCTGCTTTTTGTTAACCTTTTGTAATTTTTGCCTCAAATTTGTTTATTTCTGTTTGGTCTTCATTATTTATTTCTTTTTAATAATTTGGGCTTTGGTTTGTTCTTACTATTCTAGTTTCTTAAGGTAGAATTGTTCAGTAGTTTATTTGAAAGTTTTCTAGTGTTTTTGATCCAGACATTTATTGCTAAAAACATACTTCTTAATAACTGCTTTTGCTGTGTCCCCTAGTTTTGGTATGTTGTGTTTCTAGTTATATTTGTTTCAAGGAATTTTTAAATTTCATTCTTAATTTCTTTCTTCACTCATTGTAACTCAAGGTCATGTTGTTTAATTTCCATATGTCTGTATAGTTTTTAATGTTCCTCTTGCTATGAATGTCTAGTTTTATTCCATTGTGGCAAGATAAGACACCTGACATAATTTCAATTTTTAAAAATTTGCTGAGACTTGTTTTGTAGCCTAACATACGGTCTATCTTGGATAATGTTTCATGTGCTGATGAAAAGAATGTGTATTCTGCAGCTGTTAGGTGAGATGTTCTGTAAATGTTTGTTATGTCCATTTGGTCTATGGTGGAGTTTAAGTCTGATGTTTCTTTGTTGATTTTCTGTCTAGATGATTTGTCCAGTGCTAAGAGTGAGATACCGAAGTGCCCAACTCTTATTGTAACTGGGTCTATCTCCCTCTTTAGATCTAGATATTCGCTTTATATGTCTAGGTGCTCTGGTGTTTGAGTGCATACATATTTACAATTACACACATATTACAATTATGTTATATTTCTTCTGGAATGGAACCCTTTATTATTATATAATAATCTTGTTTGTCACTTTTTATGGTTTTTTAACTTGAAGTCTGTTTTGTCTTATACAAGTATAGCTGTTTCTGCTCACTTTTGGCTTCCATTTGCATGGAATATCTTTTTCCTTCCCTTCATTATCAGTCTATTTGTTTCTTTACAGGTAAGGTGAGTTTATTTTAGATAAAATATAGTTGGGTCTTATTTTTTAATCCACTCAGCAAGTCTCTATCCTTCATGGTGTATTTAATCTATTGATATTCAAAGTTATTATTGGTAGGTGAGGAGTTACTTCTGACGTTTTATTGTTTTCTGGTTGTTTTGTATATGTTTTCTTCCTTTCTTCCTCTCTGTTTACTTTTGAAGTTGGGTAGTTTTCTGTAGTGATAAGGTTTCATTCCTTTCTCTTTCTCCTTTATGTATTGACTCTAACAGTGACTTAAAGTTTTGCATGTTTTTATGATAGTGGTTATCATCTTTTTACTTCCAGATGTAAGACTCCCTTGGGCATTTCTTGTAAGGCTGGTCTAGTAGTGATGAATTATCTTTGTTTTTGTTTATCTATGACAGATGTCTTCTTCATTTGTAAAGGATAGCTGTGCTGGGTATAATATTCTTGGCTGATTTTTTTCTTTCAGGACTTCAAATATATCATCCCATTCTCTTCTAGCCTAAGGTTTCTGCTGAGAAATCAGCTGTTAGTCTAACGGGGATTCCATTATAAGTGTCTTACTTCTCTCTTGCTATTTTTAAAAATCTTTGTCTTTGATTTTTCACAATTTGATTATAATGTCTGGGTTGAATGTATTTGGGGTTCTTTGATCTTCCTGAAACTAGATGTCTAGCTCTCTTTCAAGAGTTAGGAATTTTATGCTCTTATTTTATTAAATACACTTTCCTCACATTTTCTCTTCACTTTTCCTTCTGGAATGCCCATAATACGAATATTTGATCAAATTAATGGTGTCCCATAAATCCTGTAGGCTTTTTTCATTCTTTTTTATTCTTTTTTGCCTGCCTGTGTTATTTCAAAGGACTTGTCTTCAAATTCAGAAATCATTTGTTCTGCTTGTTCTTGTCTGTAAAGCCATTGATTGTATTTTTTCATTTCATCCCTTGAACTGTTTAGCTCTTAGGGCTTCTGTTGGTTCTTTTTAGGGTATCTGTATCTTTACTGAATTTCTCTTTCAAATCCTGTTTTCCTGATTTCATTGACTGGTCTATCTGTATTACCTTATATCTCACTGAGTTTCCTTAAGATTATTCTTTTTTCTGTCATTTCATATGTGTATGATTGGGGTCTATTACTGGATAATTATTATTTCCCTTTGTAGGTGACATGTTTGCTTGCATTTCATGGTTGGTGTGTTTCTGTGTTGATTTCTACGCATATGGTGAAAAAGTCACCTTTTCCAATTTTATGGAGTAGGTTTACTTGTATGAATTTATTTGTATGAATGGGTCTTGGATGTCAGTTCATTGGGGTATATTGGCCTTGGTTCTACACTTACTTGGATGCAGTAAGTGTAGTCTCCACGTAGTTTATTCAGCTGTGATCCACACTAGTAACATTTGCAAGTTACTCAGTGGCCTAGGCTAAGGAAGTTTGTGGTGATGGTGGTGCAGCTTTGCCAAGGGTGGGCTCACTGGGCTGTTTCTTAGGGTAGAGGTGTGTGCAGGCATACAGTGGGTCAGAAAACTTGGAGTATGGCTTTATGTGGCTGACCATGGTGCTGTCACTCTAGCCAGGAGCATGGGGATGCAGTTGCTCAACCAGGGCATGCCAGCCAGATGTGCCTTGCAGGACAGTTTCTCAGGCCCAGGATGCAGGCACGCAGCTGTTTGCCTGGCCTGGAAGCGTGCACTCCCAGAGTGGCCTGAAGGGCTGTTTCTCATACCTGGTATGTGGGTACACAGCTGTTCATCTGGCCTGGGGCCAGTCTGCTGGGGGAAACTCATGGGCCAAATATATAGCTGCATGGCTGCTAAGCTGGACTGAAGGTATCTTTGCCATGGCTGACCAAGAGGGGGTGTTTCTCAGGCCTGGGATACAGTCAAATGACTTCTCAGCTGTCCTGGATGTGTGTCTGCTGGGGGTAGTCCATAGGACTATTCTAGCTCAGGATGTGGGCACACTGCTGCTCAGCTGGCCTGTGTGGTGCCTGCCAGGGGAAGCCCAGGGGACTGCTTCGATGACCCAGGATGTGGGCACGAGGCTGCTTGGCTGGCCTAGGGGCATGTCTTCTGGGAGTAGCCCATGGGGCTCTTTCTCAGGTCCAGGACATGGGCATTCATGGCTGATTGGCTGGTCTGGAGGTGCATCTGCCAGGAATGGCTACAGGACTATTTCTCAGGCTCAGGAAAGGTTGCACAGCTGCTTAGCTGGCCTGGGAGTGTTTCGGTGGGGTGTGGCCTACAGGGATGTTCCTCACCTGGGACATAGGTGTGTGGCTGCTTAGTTGGCCTGAGGGTATGTTGGCCAGAGTAAGCTCCCAGGGTTGTTTCTCGGCCCTGAGACTTGGGCATACACAGCTGCTTGTCTCTCAGGTCTGAGACACGGGTGCAAGGCCCACTCAGTGGTGTGCCTGCTGGGGGCAGCCTGTGGGACTGCTCCTCAGGCCCTTATTAAAGGCAGAGGGCTCCTGGGCAGGCCAGGAGCATGTCTGTGGTGGATGGGGCCTGCAGGGCTGTTTCTCAGGTCCTGAGCATGGGCTCATAGTCACTCTGTTGACCTGGGGGTGTATCAGCTGCTCAGAGGCTTAGGGGCCTCTCCCACTTGGGAGAGGGCAGCTAGTGGTTTGGCTGGCTTAAGAGCGAGTTTACCCTGGATGGGACTGCAGATTATTCCTCTGTCTGGAAGTGTGGTGGTGGGGGTTGATTTCCCTGCTCTGCAGTACTTGAGTTACAGCCAATCCTGGGACCAAGCTCCACACAGCTGGGATTGTGGCTTTAACCCACCCATGTGGGCTTGGTGTACTGAAGTTAAAGCTCCAGTGGTGGAGGGGCACAGTGGCTACTGGCCCCCAGAGGAGGGCACACTCCAGAGATGACTCTGGTCTCAAGATGGTGCTGTGCTGCTGCAGCTTAGGTCTCTGGGGGTGGGAAGTCTTCAGCTTGTACTCCTAGTTCAGGACATGCAGTTGCGTAAATTCTTGGCAGTACTCCACATTGGCCTCAGGGCTTGCAAAGACTGTGAGATTCTCCTGTTGTAAAGACTTTGTGTTTGTGATGGCGGTGGGGTTGGTGGGGATCTTTTGCTTACCTTCACCCTGCAATGAGAAGTCCCTCCTCTCTCTGGGCTGATTCAATCCAGATGCGGGAGAAGGGGCTGCAGAGGCTGAGTGTTTCCATGCTGTGGGGACTTCCAGTCACCACAGGTGTGTCTCCACTCTAGGACTATCCCTTTGATACTCTAATCAAATCTTAGATGTGTATTTGTTGCCTTGGTTCTTTCTTGTAGGGGAGACAAGCACCAGGCATCTCTAGTCACCCATCTTGCTTGATTTAGCATAATTCATAGGGCCCTAGGATTTTCAGAATAGTCAATGATTGTTGGCTTCAACTTAAAGCCACCAGCTTCATTAGCCACTAACAAGAGAATTGGTCTGTGCTTTGAAGCTTTGAAACCGTGCGTTGACTTCTCCTCTCTAAATACTAAAGTCCTAGATGGCATCTTCTTCCAATAAAAGGCTATCTTGTCTACACTGAAAATCTGTTGGTTAGTGTGGCCACCTTCATCAATTATCTCAGCTAGATCTTCTGGATAACTTGCTGCTGCTTCTGCATTGGCACTTGCTGTTTACCTTGTACTTTTATGTTGTGGAGATGGCTTATTTCCTTAAACCTCATGAACCAACCTTTTAGCTTCAAGCTTTTCTTCTGCAGCTTCCTTACCTCTCCCAGCCTTCATTGAATCAAAGAGAGTGAGGGCCTTGTCCTGGATTAGGCTTTGGCTTAAGGGAATGCTGTGGCTGGTTTGATCGTTTATCCAGACCACTAAAACATTCTCCATATTAGCTATCAGACTATTTTGCTTTCTCATCATTTGTATGTTCACTGGAGTAGCAGTCTTAATTTTCTTCAAGAAATTTTTTGGCTTTTTCATTTTGTTTTGTTTTTGTTTTACATTCACAACTTGGCTGAACTGGTGCAAGAAGTCTAGCCTTCCTCACAATCATTTCTAGCTTTTGGTTTAAAGTGAGAGACATGTGATTCTTCCTTTCACTAGGACACTTAGAGACCATCATAGGCTTACTAAATGGCCTACTTTCAATATTGTTGTGTCTCAGGGAATAGGGAGGCCCAAGGAGAAGGAGAGAGATGGGGGAATGGCTAGTCAGTGGAGTAGTCAGAACCAACATATCATTGATTAGGCTTGTCGTCTTAATATGGGCGTGGTTCGTGTTGCCCCAAAACAATTACAATAGTAACATCAAAGATCACTGATCAGAGATCACCATAACAGATATGATAATAAAAAGTTTGGAATATTGCAAGAATTATTAAAATGTGACAGAGACACAAAGTGAGAACATGCTGTTGGAAAAATAAAACCAGGAGACTTGCTCAATGCAGGGCTGCTACAAACCTTCAGTTTATAAAATAGTAATATCTGAGGGGCAATAAAGTAAAGCACAATAAAACAAGATATATATGCATACACACACATATATGTATATATAACCTATATATGTATACATATACATATATAGGCTAAAGGATATAAACATATGCTTTCATATATATACACATGCTTATATATATTAAATTATATATGACTACTGATGTTATTAATTTGGGTCAGTGCTAAAGAATATATCTATATATAGATATATACACACACATTTAAATATGCACATATATAGACATATGTATAGCGCTATGTGTATCTACATACACACAAATACATATTTATATACCTATATATACTACATATATAGCTAAAAGATATATCTGTATATATATACACACACACACATATATACATGTGCATTGTGTGTGTGTGTGTAGATAGATCCTTTAGCAGTGACCCAAATTAATAACCTCAGTAGTTTTCAATGACACCACCATTGAAAGGCGAGTTATATCAAAGATATATCAAAGTAGTGAAAGACTACTGATGTCATTTTATCCGGGCCAGTGCTAAGGATTAAAAACGTACAGGTCAGGTCAAGTGACTTCAGAGACATACTTTTCTGGTTGAAGTTATGTACTATCACACTACATTTATAAACTGGTTGAACTCTGAAAATGTATATGTCAATGATTTGGAGTCTACTATTAATATATCATTTTTTCCTAGAAGAAAACCTTACATTATGTAAAGGTGCTCTTGGGCCTTAACAGTCTAATGAATCACAGCTTAAGTGCAGTTCTTTATTACTTCATTTGTGAGTGAATTTTACCAGTCTCAATATATCCCTCTCTTCTTTCTCTCCATATTTTGAAATCTCACCCATCATTGATGACTACCACACATTACTCTTTTTAATTCAATGGGGTAGTAGCTAAGGGATTAAAAATGCACATAGCAAGACTCCACATGTTATCCTAGACTTAATTTTCTGATACAAATTAGTGATAATTATTCTATAATTTATAATCTAGTTACCCTGAAATATTGACATTAATCAGTTATTTATTTGAAACCTGGTATTTAATTTTTCTCTGGAAATGAAGTTTTCGATGTTTGTAATGAAATTTTTCAGCCTGTGAAAAAAACTTAATGAAACAAGTTTATTTACATTTCTTCACTCCTAAACGTAATCCCCAAGTTACTGTTTCTGGCAAAATTTACATTAATTCAACTTCAGTTTGTAAATACCCACCTTGCTTGTCCTTGTAATTTTCTGCCTTTTCACATTCAAATACCACCAGTAACTCTTCACCAATCATGGATGTCTTTCCTGCCCCTCAGAAAGGGCTAAGTAACTACAGACCCAAGGCAGGGCCTCCATACAATCTGATGGTGGGTTTATCTTTGGGGCAGTAGCCTCCTGTGGTAACAGACAGAGAGACCAGGGGTCTATTAGCTTTGTTCTTTTCTGTTGAGAGCTCCTCAGCTCCCTGTCCACTGTTACCTCCTCCTTGCTCCAAATAGGACTGTTGCCTCTTTTGGCTTACTCTAGTAGAGTGTCATACAACACACACATTCTCATATTTTCCTAAGGTTTCAGGGTGCTGCTAAATAAGCAGTGGAATAGGAATGGAATAGGAATAAGAAGCATTCCTCTTAAGACCTATTCCTCTTTTATCCAACTAGATCAAAGAAAGAAAGGTAACTACAGATACTACAGTAATAAGACTTTAGAAAACAGTGCCTAAAACACCTGTATTGTTATGGATACTCCAGACCATGAACTTCCCAAATCTGAATCTCCCTTTTCTACATGTATGCTTTTGTGTGTGTCTATGTGTGTATTTACATATATGTTTACATCTAGCTTTTTATTTACTTAAACCTCAAATTTTGTTGAAAGTCCCTTCATGTGTTACCTGTTGTCATTTCACTGAAGGCAGTGCTGATGGAGCAAAAAGGTACATAGACATATAGTGAATTTCTCTTTTTTGACACTATTAGCAAATACATTTTTTGTACCAAAAGAAGTAGATTTTCTATAAATATGAAGTACGTACATATATAATAAGTGAGGGTATGCAAATACTACCACATAAGCCCAGTAAGTAAAGTCCAACAATTAACAAAGACTCATTTATCAATGGTCAATTCATCCGAGATTAAACTATATATAAATTAAACCTATGTACATATTAGAAATACATTTTAGCCAGGTGCGGTGGCTCATGACTGTAATCCCAGCACTTTGGGAGGCCGAGGCGGGCAGATCATGAGGTCAGGAGTTCAAGACCAGCCTGGCCAATATAGTGAAACCCTGCTCCTACGAAAAATACAAAAAATTAGTCAGACATGGTGGCACGTGACTGCAGTCCCAGCTACTCAGGAGGCTGAGGCAGGAGAATCACTTGAACCTGGGAAGTGGAGGTTGCAATGAGACGAGATCGTGCCACTGCGCTCCAGCTTGGGCAACAGTGAGACTTCGTCTCAAAAAATCATAATAATAGAAATACATTTTAATTTGCCCATGCCTCCAATGTCCTATAAAATAAATTCTTTTAAAGATTTACTTATTGGCTTAAAAATCAATACTACACACAAAACTCACATACTATTGCTTCATGAGCAACTACAGAATTCTCACCTAGATGTTTCCTTAATCAGCCACTGATTAAACACAATCCTTTTATTCCTTCTATAAAATCTCATTCATTTTTGCAAATTTTCTTGAGCATTACACTATAATTAACTTGAATCAGGTTTTCCATATTACTTATACCTTTATGATTTATTTCCAGGAGAGGTTTTCACATGACTGGGAAAACCCTTCATCACCTCCTTCCCTTCATTGATCATGCTAGTCTTTCCTGCCCATGAAACACAGTGAAGTACCTGTGCACCTAAGGAAAGCGGCATCCAACGAGGTGGTGGGTTTGAGTTGGGTCTGGGCACCAACCTCACATGTGGATAGAGCTCTTGAGGGTGTGGGACAAGTCCACATTCCATTAGCTCCATTCTTTTTTTCCCAGGGCTTCACTACTCCTTATTGGCCGCCATCTCCTCCATGTTGCAAATAGGATTCTCTCCTTTCTTGGCACACTATGGTAGGGTCTCAAACTCAGGAAACCCAAATCCCTTAAAAAATTGCCTCAGAAATTGAGGGTGACAAATACACTAACAGGAAGAAGTGGCTCTCCTATGAACTGACTTCCTTATACAACTCCATCAAAAAAGGATGCGGTTACCTACAAATGCTACAGTGAGAAGAATTGGAAACCCTGTTAAAAACACTCTGTATGGCCATGCAGGCTCCTGAGAGTAAATTCCACAAATGTCCATCTGTCTCCATGTTTTGTGTTTCCATTGTGTGCATGGGTTTGTTTGTGTAAATGTGTTGACAGAAGTGAGTATGGATGTAGATGGATCTATTTGTGTATGTGCGTGTGTGTATGTGTATAGCTCTATGCACACTTATGCATACATGTGTCTTTATGGATTTATAACTCACCTTTTACTGATAGGTGACACCAGGGCTGCTCCTTTACATTCACTGCTGTGTGGGCTAGAGGATGATAAAAGAATACAGTCAGCTAGGAGACACGATTCTAAATTCACTTTTTTGGAAAAATTAGCTTTTATTACTCTAGACAGAAACCAATTAATTTCTGTCAGGAAATCTGAGTCCCATAAAAAAACTGCTTACTAGGAACTAAGGGTGACACATACACTAACAGGAGGAAGCAACTCTCCTATGACCTGCTCCTCTTTATACAACTCCACCAAAGAAGGATGCAAAGTTACTAGCAGATGCTACAATGAGAAGAATTGGAAACTCCATTAAAAAAAAAAATCTATATGCCCAGACAGGCTCCTAAGTTCCACAAATGTCCATCTGTCTCTTTTCTCCTTGTTCTAAGTTTCCACGATGTGCATGGATTAATTTGTGTATGTGTGTTGAAGAGAAGTGTGGATGGATGGAAGGATGGATGGATGGATGGATGGATGGATGGATGGATGGATGGATATATTTGCTCATGTGCCTGTGTGTGTTTATAGTTCTATGCACACTTATGCTGATGGATGTCTTTATTTAACCATTTACTACTTACATATCATTCGTAAGTGTCTCCTCGGTTGCTCCTTTAAATTCATTTGTCTGTGGACTAGCAGATGATAAAAGAATACAGTCAGATAGGAGGCATAGTTCTGAAGTTATATTTTGGAAAAAATACCTTTCATTACTCTAGACAGAAAGCAATTAATTTCTGACTATTCATGTGTATGGCACTATTGGAACATGGAATGTCTTTTTTCTTTATTAGAAATGAGGATTTATATGACGACAACCAAAATCATAGCCTGGGGAAAATAGTAATGCTTCGCAATTTAAGTCAACCTCTTTATTATGACCTCAGTCCCAGTGTGTGACAGACTTTGTGGTGACAGTAATTTCAAACTCAACTCAGTTTGTAGGTAGTCAGCCCTCTTATTCCATTCAATGTTCTGCTTCAAAGGCCGTCCATTAGCTCCTTACCTTCACCCAGCATGATGGTTTCTCTAGTCCCACAAAAAGGGTCAGGTAATTAGAGGTCTGACACAGGAGCGCAATCCAAATAGGATGGTGATTTGAGGTTTGGAGCTCCAGCCTCCGTGGTGGCAGAGTTCTGGAGGGTGGAGAACAACTCCAAGGCTCTTAGCTCTGTTGCTTTCTGCCGAGGGCTTCACAGTGCCCTGAGCACTCCTACCTCCTCCTCACTCCAAACAGGATTCTCTCTTCCCTTGGCCCACTCTGGTATGTCTCATACACAGAAAAATCAGAGTTTCCAAGGCATTTGACTGCTACTAACAAATGATGAAAAGACAGTAACAGACAAGAGCCTCTCTCTGTAGTCTGTTTCTTTTTTTCTAAACAACTGTAAAAATGTGGAAGTTATCTATGCGTGATACAGTGAGACGACAAAGAAAGAAACTGTGCCAGAGACACTCTGTGTTATCCTGAACACTTCTGAAAGTGAATCTCACTAATCTCAGTCTCTTTCCCTGTCACTGTTTGTGCGTGTGTGTGTGTGTGTGTGTGTGTGTACACATCTTATTTATTTACTTCTTTATTGTGACAAAGTTTCGCTCCTGCTGCCCAGGGTGGAATGCAGTGGCATGGTCTTGGCTCACTGCAACCTCCACCTCCCCCGGTTCAAGTGATTCTCCTGCTTCAGCCTCCTGAGTAGCTGAGATTAGAGGCACTTGCCACCACACCTGGCTAGTTGTCGTAGTTTTAGTAGAGACAGGGTTTCACCATGTTTGCCAGCCTTGTCTCGAACACCTTACCTCAGGGTATCTGCCTGCCTCGGCCTCCCAAAGTGCTCAGATTACAGGTGTGAACCATTGCACCTGGCCATGTGCATCTTTTATAACTCATCTGTCACTGGGGCTTCTCTCAATGATGACTCCCTCCAGGGCATTTGGATTGGGACTAAAGGACAAATATGGTCAGAGTCAGACACAATGCATAATTGTAATGTTTTTCAACAAATAGCCAGTTAGACTATGCGTTATTCCCCAGTTACACTGTAATTATTCACATGTATGTACATCACTAAATTGACCTGGGATGGCATTTGTTTTTTATTAGAAATGAGGTTTTTTTTTTTTATTTTTAATTTTTTTTAGGCCAGACAGAAAGTTTTATTTGTGGAATGCCATTATCAAGAATGAGGCACATGAAGATCTTTAATTCTCACAATGGTCAGAGTAGTTATGACCCCCATTTTCCAGAATAGGAAACTGAGTTGCACAAAAGAATCAGGAACTTTCCCAAGGTCACACAGTTTTTAAGTGGTGAAGGAATTTAAATCCGGATCTGCTGAAGTCCAGAACATGGCTTAGTACCACTGGGGCTGTAGGCGGAAGTCCAGTAGATAAAATTGTGAGTTGGGGCAGGCACAGTGGCTCATGTCTGTTATCCCAGCACTTTGGGAGGCCAACGCGGGATGATCACTTGAACCCAGGAGTTCAAGGCTGCAGTGAGCCGTAATTGCACTGCTGCATTCCAGCCTGGGCCACACAGCAAGGCTCCATCTCTCCAAGCTTATCAAGGACCCAAGAGACAGCTTCAGTACAGCTTCCACAGGTCATGTCCACAGAGAACACGTGCGGCATAACTAAGGCAGCGGCGGCGTGGCAGCGGTGGCAGCAGCGCCTCTCTGGGCTTGGAGGGTGGGTTCCAGAAATGAGGTTTTATACACCAACAGTGAGTATCTTAGGCTTTGAACCTAGTGATGCATCCAGATTAAGTAAGGGCATCTACACCTCAATGTGTAGCAGCATTTCTGGAGAGCATTTAATTCTAGTTCAAATTTTGTTTGTAAGTTCCTCTTCTTATAATTGCATCTGAGTTCCTCATTCTCTATGACGTCCAATCACCTCCTCACTTTTCACCCATCCTAGTTATCTTTCCTGACCAAGAGTTGTGGCCAAGTAGCTACAGGCCTCAAGCAAGGGCTCCATCCCATGTGAGGGTGGGTATGGGCCAAGGCAGTCAGCCTCACATAAAGGCAGAGCTCAGGAGGGTGTGAAATAATGCCAGGGTTGTTAGTTCTGTTCTTTTCTTTGGCTGGCATTTCTCTGATCTTTGTCCACTCCTATCTTCTTCTCACTCCAAGTAGGATTCGCTTTTCCCTTGGTCCACGCTACTAGTACAGTCTCATTCTCACAGAAAGGAAATGTGACAAACACTAGCATAAAAACCTCCCTCTATGAGTTCCTCCGCATTTTCCTACCTCCATCCAAAAAACAAAAGAATATTCCATACAAAGCTCATTCTGAGAGGACTCTAGAAATAGTTTCCAGGGAACTCCTTGTTCCCATGGATGCTTGTGACAGTCAATAGTCCAACTCAATCTCTCTTGTGTGTATGAATGCATGTATGTATGTGTTTGTTTATGCATATATACATGTATAGCTGTATTCCTTTATATCACATGTTGCACTGGCCGGCCTACTAGAAAATACTCTCAATTCACACACAGGGTAGTGCCAAAGAACTTAAAATGTACATAGGAAGACAACATGTAACTTCCTAGATTTAACGTTTTCAGTTCAAAAGAGTTCCAATTGCTTTTTGTTTTTGTTTGTTGTTGTTGTTGTTTGTTTTTTGAGACAGAGTCTGGCTCTGTCTCCCAGGCTGGAGTGCAGTGGCACGATCTTGGCTCACTGCAAACTCTGCCTCCCAGGTTCAAGCAATTCTCCTGCCTCAGCCTCCTGAGTAGCAGGGACTACAGGCACCCGCCACCATGCCCGGCTCATTTTGTATTTTTAGTAGAGACAGGGTCTCACCATGTTGGCCAGGTGGGCCTTGAACTCCTGATCCCACTATCCACCCGCCCTGGCCTCCCAAAGTGCTTGGACTGCAGGCCTGAGCCACTGCACTCGACCTTCCAACTACTTTCAACCTGTAAACTGCCTTACCTTACAGAAGTCATGTGTGTATTAGGTTCTTTGGAATCTGCCATGCCATTTACCCTACACATCATACTTTATATGATTGCAGCACATACTTTACACCTATCTGAGACTCACTGACTCAAGAGTTCACCAAAACTCTCTACCACTGGAGCTGGCCAATCCTCGACAGCCTTTTGTGGGTAAACTTCTTTTAAATTCAACTCCACTGTGTAGGCATTCCTCCCTCTAATCCCATCTATGGCCCACTTCCTGGATCTCTCCATCACCTCTTTCCTTTCACCCATCGTGCTAGTCTTTCCTGTCCAGGAGACACAGGCAAGTAGCTTGGGCCTAAGGAAGGGCTGCATCCAATGAGGTGCTATGCTTGCGTTTGTGTTGTAGCACCAACCTCATATGTTGACAGAACTCTGGAGTGTGAGGGACAAGTCCATGCTCCATTGGCTCCATTCTTTTCTTCCAAGGCTTCACTGCTCCTTGTCAGCTGCTATCTCCTCCATGTTGCAGACAGGATTTTCTCCTCCCTTCTGTCAATCTCACAGGCTCTCAAATTCAGGAAATCTGAGTCCTTTAAGAAGCTGCTTACTAGGAACTAAGGGTGACAAATACACTAACAGGAAGCAGCAGCTCTCCTGTGACCTGCTCCTTTCTATATGACCTCCATTAGAAAAGGATGCAATGTTACCTACAAAGGCTATGATAAGAAGAACTCGAAACCCTGTTAAAAACCACTCTCTATGGCCATGCAGGCTTCTCAGAATAAACTCCACAAATGTCCGTCCACCTGTCTCCTTGTTGTATGTTTCCATTGTGTGCATGGGTTGCTAGTGGATGTGTGCTGAGAGAAGTGTGTATGGATGGATGCATGGATGGATGGATGGATATATTTGTTTATGTGCCTGTGTGTGTGAAAACTTCTATGCTCACTTATAATTACATAAATAAAGACACACGTATGCATAACTCACCTTTCATGGATACGTGCCTCCGGGTTCGTGCCTGATAATTCATTTGTGGGTGGACTGGAGGATGATAAAAGAACACAGACAGGAGACACAACTCGAAATTCACTTTTCTGATAAAACTCGCTTTCATTACTCTGCCCATAAACCAGTTAAGTTCTGACTATTCATGTGTATAGCACTATTTGGTTCTGAAATGTCATTTTTTATTAGAAAGGAGGATTTATACGATGGCAACCAACATCTTAGGCTGTGGAAAATAGTAATGCTTCCAGATTTAAATAAACCTCTTTGTTATGACCTCAGTCCCAATGCATGGCAGCCTTTGTGGTGACAGTTATTTCAAACTAAACTTTTGTGTGGAGGTAGTCGGCCCTCTTATTCCACTAAATATGCTGCCTCAAAGGCTCTCCATTACTGCTTTACTTGATCGTCTGTCTTGGTCCACAAGTAGGGTAAAGTAACTGCAGGTCTGAGTCAAGGACACAATCCAATATGATGGGGTTTGGGGTTTGGAGTATCACCCTGTATTGTGGCAGAGTTCTGCAGGGTCAAAAACATTTCTAGGGTTGTTAGCTTTTTTCTCTTCTTCGGAGGTCTTCACTACTCTCTGTCCCCTGCTATCCTTTTCTGTTTCCAAAGAGGATTCTCTGCTGTCCTCAGCCATTGTAGTGAGGTCTCACATATAGGCAGTCTGAAAATTATTTTTGATTGTTACTCAGAGTATCAAACAGACTAGTAAGAAAAATCATCCTTCTTATTATGTGGTCATCTTTTATCTAAATTCATTCAAGAAGCCATAAAGGCACCTTCGTATCCTATAGTGAGATCATGTAGACACATGTAAAAGTTTTTTGTTTTTCCATTAATGCCCTTGAATCTTCCCTAATCTCAACCTTTATATTTCTCTGCAGTACCTGTGGGTGCATCCTTGATTTAATATGAATCCATATAGGTTTATATAAATGGTATATAATTGTTTCCTCCTATGCTCATATATCCTTATATCTGTATTGATTGATTTCTGTCTCACAGTTCATTGATAGCTCCATTCCGGGGTAGTGATTTGAATTTAGACTTGGCAGTGCTACAGAATTTAAACATATATATATATGTGTGTGTGTGTGTGTGTGTATATATATATATATATATAGTCCAACACCAATATGACATCCTAGACTTCACTTTCTGGTTTGAATTACTCACAAGTGATGTTTAGTTGCTACAATTGAATGAAGCACAAAGTAAGCATTTGGTGGTTTACTTTAATTCAAATTCAGCTGCAGTTTCTATGTACAAATCCCTTTGACCTCATCTCATTTCCTGATACTAAAATCCCTTCATCAGTGCCTTGTTTTCACCATCATAGGTGTCTTCTCTGCTCTCACACAGGGTCAAGAAACTGCTCCATACCATGTGATGATGGGTGTGGGCTTGTAGTGTTAGCCTCACATGGTGGTAGAGCTCTGGGTGTGAGGAACCCTGCCAGGCCATTAGCTCTGTTATTTTCCCTAACGGCTCCACTGCTCCCTGCCCACTGCTACTTGCTCATTGCTCTGCATAGGATTTTCTTCCCTTGGCCCACTCTAGTATGTCTCATACACAGGAAATCTGACTTTCCTAAGTATGTGCCTGCTACTAAGGGTGACAAGACAATAACAAGAAGTTTCGGCCGGGCGCGGTGGCTCAAGCCTGTAATCCCAGCACTTTGGGAGGCCGAGACGGGCGGATCACGAGGTCAGGAGATCGAGACCATTCTGGCTAAACCGGTGAAACCCCGTCTCTACTAAAAATACAAAAAAACTAGCGGGGCGAGGTGGCGGGCGCCTGTAGTCCCAGCTACTCGGGAGGCTGAGGCAGGAGAATGGCTTAAACCCGGGAGGCGGAGCTTGCAGTGAGCTGAGATCCGGCCACTGCAGTCCAGCCTGGGCAACAGAGCGAGACTCCGCCTCAAAAAAAAAGTTTCCCTTTTTTGACCTGTTCCTTTTTATCCAATTTAATCAAAAAGTTGGATAAGGGACCTGCAGGGCCTATAGTGAGGTGATTTATAAACAGTGTGAAAGACATTCTGTATGGCCTTGGATGATCCTGAGAGTAAAGCACATAATCTTCATCTTTCTCTCTGTTGTTTCTCTCTCTCTCTTTTCTCTCTCTCTCCCTGTTTCTCTCTCTCTCTCCCTGTGTTTGTGTGTCTAGACAGACAGAAGTATGCATACATATTTCTTTACATATGTATTTCTTTACATATTTGTGTACATATATTTTATAATTCACATTTCATTGGTGGTTGTATCATAGGTTATTGATGTCAATTCATCTGTATGCAGGCTAAAGGAATATAAAAGTAGATAGCTGGACACACATGTAATTCTAAACTTACTTTTTGGATCAAACAGCTACAGTTACTCTATAATGTACTATCTGGTTGATGTTTAAATATTCACGTGTATTCACTAATTCGAACTTTTTTTTTGAACTTTTTTAGATGTATCTTTTTTTTTTTTTTTTTGGCAGAGTCTCACTCTCACCGAGGCTGGAGTGCAGTGGTGTGATCTTGGCTCACTGCAACCTCTGCCTCCCATGTTCAAGCAATTCTCCTGCCTCAGCCTCCTGAGTAGATGGGATTACAGGCATGCACCACCATGTCTGTCTAATTTTTGTATTTTTAGTAGACACAGAGTTTTGCCACGTTGGTCAGGCTGGTCTCAAATTCCTGGCCTCAAGTGATCTAGCTGTCTTGGCCTCCCAAAGCGCTGGGATTACAGATATGAGCCACCATGCCTGGCCAGTGGCATTTATTTCTAATGTAACTGCAGTCTGTAAGGAAACATGCCTCTTACCCCATCTAAATTTTTGATTCCTAAGTCCCTCTGTCACTTCCTTACTTTCACCCATCATGGCTGTCTTTCCTGCCCAGAAGATATGACCATGTAGCTGTAGGCCTGAGTCAGGAACTCCCTACAAAATACTGTGGGTTTGGGTTTGGTTTGGGGCACCAGCCTCACATGGTGGTAGAACTCTAGAGGGTGAGGAAGCCATTAAGGTTTCATGAACTCTGTTCTTTTTGATGAGTGCTTCACTCCTCCCTGTCACCTGTTACCTCCCCATTGCTCCAAATAGGATTCTCTCTCCCTTTGGCCCACTCTAGTAGTAGTAGAGTCTCATAAATGGGAAACTTCAAAGGTTCCTAAGGGATTGAATACTAATAACTTAGAGTGACAAATATACTAAGAGGAAGAAGCATCCCTTTCATGACTTCTTCCTCTTTCATCCAATGTGGTCTGAAAAAAAAATAGAAAGTTATCTATAGACCCTACAGTGAGAAGATTTCGACATAGTGTCAAAGATACTCTGTATTTCCAAGGACATGCCTGACAGTGAATTTTACAAATATCAACTTCTTTCATTGTTTTATGTTTCTGTGTGTGTATGTGTATGCATGCGTGTATGTTGATAGAAGTATGTATTTATGTGTATATATGTGTATATACACTTACATGTATATAAATCTTTGTTTTTAACTCACATATCATGGGTGGCTCTATCATAGGTTACTACCATCAACTCAATTGGCTGTGGGCTGAGGAATTATAAAAGCATATTATTCAGATACAAACATAATTTGGACTTACACTTTTGGTCAAATAGCCGCAGTTACTCTAGACATGAGTCTACCTGCCAAGGAATGCTAAAGATTGCCAGCAACCAGCAAAAGCTAGCAAAGAGGTATCAAACAGATTCTTCTTTATAGCCCTCATAAAAAGCCAACCCTACTGACAACCTCAATTTCAGATTTCTAGTCTCTAGGACTATGAGATGATTCATTTTTGTTTAAGACACTTGGTTCGTGATACTTTGTTAAAGCAGCCCTAGAAACGAATATAGCCCAACCTGGCAGAGTCTCATACATAGGCAATCCACCAGGTTTCTAAAAGTTTTGGCTACTAGTCAACTCAGCTAGGAAGAAGTAGACTTTTTGTGATCTATTTATCTTGTATCCAACTAGACCCAAAAAGAAAAGGATGTTACATACAGTAGTTGAAACTACCAGTACTTTAGAAACAGTGTCCAAGAAACTCTATATTTATTTTACATTTGTTAGCTTACTTAAGACCTAATTTTTTAGAAAGAATTTTAGAATCAGTGTCCAGAAAACTATTTTCTCATGAATAATTCTGAGACTGAATTTCACAAACCTGAATTCCTCCCATCTCCAATATATATTATGACATCACCTTTCATTGTTGACTCCAGCACAGATTTCTGATGTCAATTCATTGGAATCAGTGCAAAGGATTGAAAGGTAAGTAGTAAGAAACAACGTAAATGCATACACGACTTTTTTTTTGGTTCAAATTGGCTATGATTGTGCTACAAATCACAATGTGTTGTCCCTAAAAATTATCATGTAAATCTGTTACTTGGCACCTGGTACTTCATTTTTCTCTAGAAAAAGGTCTTTATGTGTTGATAGTAAAAATTGTTTAGGACTCTTAAAAAAGTTTAATGAAACAAGATTTAAATACAATTCTTTCTTACTGAATCTGGTCATTGTGTGTGACAGCAAATTTAACTTAAATTTGCTTCAAATTCATGTTCCATTTGTAGGCACACGTTGTTCTTGCCCATTTTGATTTCCTAATTATCAAGTCCCTCCACCACCTTCATGCTCTTCATGAGTCACAGATATCTTTGCTTCCCTTCAAATAGGATCAAGTGACTAAACCTGAGACAGGGGCTCCATCCAATGTGATGATGGCTTTGAGTTTGGGATACCAGCTCTGAAGGGTGAGGGACAGATACAGGGTCTCTTAGCTCCTTTCTTTCTGCCAAGGGCTCCTCTGCTGCCTGTCCAATGCTACCACCTTCTTTCTCCAAGTAGGATTCTCTCCTCTCTTGGATTGCTCTTGAGAGAGTCTCATACATGGGCATTCTGATAGTTTCCTAAGGGTTTTGGCTGCTAATTACTAAGGGTCACAAACAGTATTTGAGTACCAAGTGTGCCTCTTCTGACCTGATCTTATTTTTTCCACTCTGGTTCAAAAACAATGTTACCTAAAGATGCTTAAAGTCTCTTATAGAAAGCTGTTATTACCATTGATACTCTCAGTATTTTTCACCACTTAGATCAGTCAACTCACCCATTGTGGTCATAGCTGTCAGAGCATACAGTAGGATCTGTTAATGAATCCATAATTCTACCAAAGAGTAAAAAGCACATACAAAAAATAAAGTCAGATATTATGAAAGGCAATCAGGATGTTAATCTCGACAGTATTTCAGGACATGAAAAATAAAATCAGAGGAATTTTGACAAGAACTAAAGAAACAATCTCAGGGTACAGTACTAGAATTTGTGTTTTGTGTGTGTGTGTGTGTGTGTGTGTGTGTGTGTGTGAAAGAGAGAGAGAGAGAGAGAGAGAGAGAGAGAGAGAGAGAGAGAGAGAGAGAGGACACAGAAAAAACAAAGAAAATGTAAGAATAATGAATGTTTTGATATCAATGGCTAGTTCCTGGTCATCCTTGGTAGGAAATAAACAAGTAGGTTAAGTCAAGCACAGCCTAAATTATGTTTAAGACATTTTGTGAACTTAAAGTAGATTATATGTTTAGAAAGATTTTGTTTTCTATTTGTCTGTACTCACTTTTTTAAAGTTATATGGCTATATTTTACAAAATCAAGACTTCCCAGCACTGAAACCCCTGGCTTGGCTAATTTAATCTCTCTACAACTTTATTTCCTCATCTGCAAGTTAAGACACATACAAAATACACTCCACTCTGTCAGCTTCATAAAACCACGCTGAATATTTAGCATTTTGCAAATATTGGTTTTTAGACAACCTGCTGTCTACACCATTTATTATGCCATAAAAGTCAGTATGTGGCAATATAAACTGATACATATTTTAGTTTCAAATACACAAACATTATCATCAAAGTAATACACTCCCCAGACTCAAGAATTAATGCTCTTTGCCACAATTTTCTAACTTTTCAAATGTTTAAATAAGTTTAAGAAACTGATCACACACATTTTTTTGCTGCTGATAAAAACTAGGATTCTCTAAGAATGTGCTGAGGTTTCACTAGCAAAGTTTCAGGTGTTAATTGAGATGGGACCACTGAAGCCCTTTTGGTGGCCATCCCTGTGGAGGCTTCCTGAGCTGAACTCCAGCTCTATTCCTTGAACAGAGCTTCCACCATTAGGGCAACCAGGCGCCCCTGTAGGAAAGATTAAAGTGACCAGTGTATGCATACTATTACATTGCCTAAAATGTCATATTTTTAAGGACATTAACAGGCATAGTATGAGGCTTGTTTTATTTTTTAAATGTTTTCTATTTCTATTATTTTTCTATCTAATTATTTTTCTATTTCTATTTCCATTTGCTGGGTCACAGACAGCAGCAAATTCCATAGTTTCGGGGTTATACCAGTTCATCTGCAGTAGGAGTACAAATATCAAAGCTCTCAGTCTACCACCTTGTGCTCCAGAGATACGGCCCAAGCAGATCTTCGGATGTGAACCAGGGCAACCCAAGGCAGAGCTGGATTTCTGGGAGTTTCTCCCTGTAAGCCCTGGACCTGCTTACCTGTAGGCCAGACTGCTTCCGGCGCCACGGCCGCTCAGAAGAGGCTGGGGTCAGTTCAGCTGCTAGAATAACACAAGTCTCAGGTCTTGTGTCTTCCGTACAACATTCTCTAAGAGGGAGAAATTTAATTAAGATCCTGTTAGCAGTTTTCTCTTCTGTTGCCTTTCAGGATTATGGCTTTTCCTTTTTTCATTTTCTAGTTCCCAAAATCAAGCTCATTAAATCAAATCTTTACCCAATTCCTGGCAAGTAACAAGGTTACTGCTATTTGGCCCTATGCCCACTGGTTGTCCCCCAGTACCCTGAGGATAAGGGGACTCTGTAAGGTCCCTGGGAGGGGAAAGGAATGTCAATTAGTGTTCTCCCCAGCTGGGTATAAGCAAACTTTCCTGTCTATGGGCCCCAGAGACCACCATCTAGTTCCCCCACCAAAACTTTACATGATTTTAATTCTGATGAGGATGAGAGGACAACATGAGCCAACAGAGAGGGCAGAGGATGGGGTGGGACTCCCTTGCTCAGAGACCCTCACCTCTAAGTCTTTACCTCATATTGAGAATAAGTTAGTTCTATAATAAGAACTCTATATCCATGGCAACCCCAAACAGAGTCCTGGTGCTCTTGTGATTCTTGTAGAGTGGGGCATAGAACGAGCTTGGCCCAAGACTGCAGAGACTTAAAAACATGCTGTTCTGTCAAACATACAGATACTCATTAAAGACAAGGGAGAAGGGCATGGGGTAGGGTAGAATGTACCAAAACCAAAGACCACAGGATAATAACCTCAGAGCAGAGACTATCTCTCCAGTTATTTTTTCTTTTGTATGTAATGGAGGGGATTCTTCTTATTTACTCTGATGAAGAAGTTTGCATCAGTGTTCAGCTTCCTTTGCAGGTTAGAGAGAATAACCAGAGGGCTCAGTTATTATCTCTGAATAACTGTGTTTTGTCTAGTGTTTTTAGACAATATTAAATTTCTCTAAAATAGACAAGATTGATAGGACTTGGGGGGATACTTCATTGACTCAAGTTATCATTTCATAGGATTGTGAGAAAACAAAGAGTTGTACATTTAAAACACACTCATATTCTAGCTAGAAGAGAGGATTTTGAATGCTCTTACATCAAAGAAATGGTAAATGTTTAAGGCAATGGATATGCTAATTACCCTGATTTGATCATTATGCAATGTAAAATGTACTGAAGCATCACATTGTACCTCATAAATATGTACAATTTATTATGTATCAATTAAAATTTTGAGTATAAGAAAAAATAAACTTCAATTGTAAGAAAACAACCCAACTTTTAAAAAATGGGCAAAATATGTGAACAGATATGCCACTAATAAAGATTTGCAACTGGCAAATAAGCAAATGAAAAAATGGTCATCATCACTAGCTATTAGAGAAATGCAGATTAAAACTACAACAAGAAACCACTAGATACCTATTAGAATATCTAAAATTAGAAAGATGGCGTGTTGACAAAGAGAGAGAGAAACTGAAACTCTCATACAATGCCGGGAATGTAAAGTGCTAGATCCACTTTGGAAAACAGTTTGGCAGTTTTTTAAGAAGTTAATTAGGTCTTTCAGTTCCCATTCCAACATGTAGAAAACTTGGAAGTCATCACTCCCATCTTCACAACAGAAAAAAAAGATAAACTGAAAATCAACAACTTTTCTTAGATCTGCCTGAAACTAGAGGTCACAGGGCAAACCACTTCTTCAGAAAAGAGAGATGGGTGAATATAGAAAATCACAGTTTACCTGAGACCAGAAGCCACAGAGCCAGTAATTGGTAGGAACACTTAAAATGGTAATCAGTAAATTACTGGTGGCTGAGTGTGGACTAGCTTGAGAGTTAAAAACTTGTTGGTGTCCCGCCTTGGGGGCCCCTTATACTTTCATGAATTTTACTTCCAGAAACCCCACCAGGTTCTCATGATGAAGGCTGAAGAAAATTTCCTCAGGCCCTTTACACAAGGAAAAGGGAAAAGCAACCATTTCAAAATATACCCTAATTGGGGGATAGAGTGAGTGAGTGGGTATAACAACCATTTTGAAATATGCCCAGAGCATTCCATTCTCTGTGTGAAAGACCTGCTCTAAAGAAAAACTGCTTCATCAGAGCCTTGTCTGACATAGGGGAAAAGCAGTAAAACAAATCTAAAACCCTCTAGCTTTCCTGTTCCACATAAAAGGAGAGGAAAAAAAAAGAAATCATTACTAATTCAATATCATAAAAATGTACACCTATGTTTTTGTCTAAGAGCATAGTTTGGGATCTCTCATTTAGATATTTCTTCCACTTGAGGTTAATTTTTCTGTATGATATGAGAAAGATCTAACTTCATTCATTTGTATGTGGATATCCAGTTGTTACAGCACCACTTGCTGAAGAGACTGTACTTTCCCACTGAATGGTCTTGGTACCCTTGTGGAGAATCAATTGACCTTAAATGTATGGATTTACTTCTGGACTCTCAATTCAATTCCATTGATGTACATATCTATCCTGATTCTAGTACTACACAATTTTAACCACTATAGCTTTATAGTAAGGTTTGAAATAATAAAGTGTAGACTCTGCAACTTCATTGTTCTTCTTCAAGATTGTTTTGGTTACTCAGAGTCCCTTGTATTTTCAAATGAATCTTAGATCAGCAAGTCAATTTCTGCAAAAAGAGAAGCTAGGATCTTGATAGGAACTGACTTGAATATGTAGATCAATTTGTGGGGTACTATCATCTTAATAGTAATGTCTTCCATTCAATAAATACAGAATGTGTATCCATATATTTAGGTCTCAATCACTTTCAATAATGTTGTGTAGTCTCACATTTCTTTTGTTTTAGTCTTATCTTTAACGCTATTGTAAATAAAACTACTTTCTTAATTTCATTTTGAGCCTACTCATTGCTAGTGTTTCTCATTATAACTGATTTTTTGCACATTGATCTTTTATCTTTCGTGAACTCAATTGTTGCTCCAGCAGGTTTGTTGTTGTTGTTGTAGGTTCCTTAGATTTTACATATACAACATTATTTATCTGCAAAAAATAGAGTTTGACGTTTTCCATTCCAATCTAGATGCATTTTATTTCTTTTTTGTGGTTGGTTTTGTTTAGTTTTTGTCTAATTATCCTGGCTAGAATCTCCAGTACAATGTTGAATAGAAAAAGCAAGCAGGTATCCTTGTCTTGTTCCTCATTTTAGGAGAAAAGATTTAAGACTTTCACCACTAACTTTAATGTTAGCTGTTGGTTTTTCATAATCTTTACTAGATTATCTAAAGGTTTAGGGTTTTTGTCATTGTTGTTGTTTACCTAACCTAAGTTATTTACCACATTTTTGAGTTCTTTTCTTTTTTTTTCTTGATCAGGCTAGCTAAGCTATCAATTTTGTTGATCTTTTCAAATAACTTTTGGTTTTGTTTATTTTCTCTATTGTTTTCCTGCTTGCTGTTTTATTTATTTTCACTCTACATTTATTATATCCTTGCTTTACTTGCTTTGGTTTCAGTTTGCTCTTCTTTTTCTAGTTTATTTAGGTGAAAGTTAAATTATTGATTGAGATCTTTCTTCCATTCTAATATAAGAATTCACACCTATAAATTTCCCTTTAAGCACGGCATTAGCTGCATTCCATAAGTTTTGAGATGTGGAATTTTTGTTTTCATTCATCTCAAAATATGTTCTGATTTCTCTTGGATTTCTTCTATGACCAATTGATTATTTAAGTTGATTATTTAAGTTGATTATTTAAGATACATCCATGCATTCCCCTAGGAAGGGGACTAAATCCAGGGAGCCACGTGGCATCATTCTGTGGGCCCCACTCCCATAGCACATCACAAGTTAAGGCCCATTGGCTTGGAATTCCAGCTGGCCAGCAGCAGCAGGCTAGAAACATCCAGAGATGGACCAAGTTCCCGGAGGGAGGGGCAGCCGCTATATCTGTGGTTTGAGTTGGCCACTCTAACCTGCTGGCACCAGGGAGCAGGAGGAGTTCCCCATAACATAGCACAGATGCTGTGCCTGATTGTGGCCAGTCTGCATCTTTAAGTGAGACCGCAATCCATCCCTCCTCACTGGACAGGACCTCCCCATCAGAATTTTAGCAAATCCAGCCAGAGTTCTATGGACAGAACTCTGATTTCTCCCTGGGATGAAGTCCCCAGGGAGAGGGATAGCTGCTATCTCCCCAGTTCAGCCGACCTAGCCTTTCCAGCCTGCTGGCTCTAGAGACTCCTGGGCGTCAACACAGCACACCAGTTCTGCCAAGGGGCAGCCAGACTGCTTCTTTAAGCAGTCCCTGATCCTGTTCCTCCTGACTGGGCGAGACCTCCCAACAGGGGTCTCCAGACACCTCCTACGGAAGCATTCCAGGTGGCATCAAGTTGGTATCCCCTTGGACTCGTGCTCCCAGAGGAAGGATCAGGCTACCATCTTTGCTGTTTTGCAGCCTTCACTGGTGATACCTCCAGGTGCAGAAGAAACTGAGGCGACTAGGGTCTAGAGTGGACCCACAGAAAACCACAGCAGCCCTAGGGAAGACTGGTCTGACTGTTAAAAACAAACAGAAAGCAACAAAAACAATATCAACAAAAAAAACCCCACAAAAACCCCGTTCAAAGATCAGCAATGTCAAAGATCAAAGGTAGATAAGGCCACAAAGATGAGAAAGCATCAATACACAAATGCTGAAAACTCAAAAAGGCAGAATGCCTCTTCTCCTCTAAACGACAACACCACCTCCCTAGCAAGGGCACAGAACTGGCCGGAGGCTGAGACGGCTGAATTGACAAAAGTAGGCTTTAGAAGGTGGGTAATAACAAACCTTACTGAGCTAAAGGAGCACATTCTAACTTAAAGCAAGGAAGCTAAGAATCATAAAAAATACAGGAGCTGATAACCAGAATATTCAGTTTAGAGAGGAACATAACTGACCTGATGGAGCTGAAAAACACAACATGAGAACTTCACAATACTACCACAAGTATCATGAGCAGGATAGGCCAAGTGGAGGAAAGAATCTCAGAGCTTGAAAACTATCTGTCTGATATAAAAGACAGGAAGAGAAGAATAGAGAAAAAAGAACAAAAAAGAAT